GCACCAGTAACCCAAGAGCCATCACCTTCAGCGGCTGCGTGTGAATGTGCCGGTACTTGCCGAGGGGGCCGTGGAGCATCAGGCTGCTCAGGAACTTGGACGCGTGATGCACCCGCTCGAGTAGCCCCTGCCACCTGAGTTTGCGCATTCTGTATGATACTAGGTAACGCTTGGGCAACACCCTCAGCCATCGACATGGCCGCATCGCCTGCCCCAAGATGCCATACAACTTCTGCGAACTTCATTGCGTCCAACCCAGTAACAGCTGCCGTCGTAGAATAGAAGCACTAGCATCACCTGGCTTGGCGGGAGGACCAGCGGTCTGCTGCGCCAGCTCGAGATGCTGGGCTCGCAATTCCACCAACTTAAGCTTTTTCCTTGATGGTGTCCTCCACGGGGAATGGACGAACGCCCTGCCACCAGCTGATGAGAATATGGCTCCACCCCGATGCCTGGGATCTTCGGGTGCGGCCTCTCTTCACTCTCGGCCAGTACTCCTGGGCTGTGATTTCTCAGCGGCCTGTGTGTACGACGGAAGGGGGAGGGGCGGGAGGCGGGGAGGGGAGCGTGGAGAAACAGCGGCACGAAGAGGAAGAAGAGGAGGAGGATAAGGAGTCGTAGACGGGGACGACGACGACGACGACGACGACCACGACGACGACGACGACGACCACGACGACGACGACGATGGCCGGCGGCGGCGGCGGCGGCGACGATGCCAGCGGCGGCGGCAGCGGCGCCGGCGATGAAGACGACAACGACGACGACGACGACGACGACGACCACAGCAACAGCAACAGCAACAGAAACAGCAACAGCAGCAGCAGCAGCAACAGCAACAGCAACAGCAACAGCAACAGCAGCAACAGCAACAGCAACAACAATCACAACAGCAACAGCAACAACAGCAGCAGCAACAACAACACAACCACCACCACCAACAACAACGACAACGACTACAACAACAACCACAACAGCAACAACAACAACAACAATGATGACAACAAACAACAACAACAACAACAACAACAACAACAACAACAACAACAACAACAACAACAACAACAACAACAACAACAACAACAACAACAACAACAACAACAACAACACAACAACAACAACAACAACAACAACAACAACAACAACAAACAACATTTTAAGGCTGTACGCTCTTACTTGCCCGCGAGTCATTCAACACGTATACCCTACACCCTCGATGCCCGCCCTCTTCGTCTTCGATCACACCCCTTTCGGGGGGATTATTTCTCTTTGCTGGGGCCGGCGGGCTTAGACGTACGGGCAAACCGGAACGGGCGGACAATCCTTCGGGGGCGTACATCTCTCTGCCCGCCATTGGAATTGGCGCGGGCCCTGCAAGAGGAGGAGGGGAAGAACGAGGGAGAGTGGGAGGAAGGGGAGGGGGAAGGACGAAGGAAGAGGGAAGATACCACGTTGTGAAGGCGTCCTTGGCGCGTGCGTGGTTCCTGAGCGCCGAAACGCAATTCCAGAATAATTGTGAGGACGTCGCACGCGAGAGCGCAGTCCTGAGTACATTGTGAGGAAATCTCAGGCGGAAGCGGGGGCCCTGACTAAGTTGCGAGGAAGTCTCAAGCGGGAGCGCCGTTCCTGAGCAAATTGCACGGAAGTCTCAGGCGGGAGCGGGGGTCCTCACTAAATTGCGAGGAAGTCTCAGGCGGGAGCGCCGTTCCTGAGTCAATTGCGCGGAAATGTCAGGCAGGAGCGGGGGTCCTGAGTAAAATTCGAAGAAGTCTCAGGCGGGAGCGCCGTTCCCACGTAAATTGCACGGAAGTCTCAGGCGGGAGCGGGGGTCTTGATTACATTGCGAGGAAGTCTCAGACGGGAGCGCCTTTCCTGAGTAAATTGCGCGGAAGTCTCAGGCGGGAGCGGGGGTCCTGAGTAAAAATCGAGGAAGTCTCAGGCGGGAGCCGTTGTTGTTGTAGCCCGGGGGGCAGGGGCACAGTTTGAGCAGGAAGACTTTCCTTGAGAAAAAACAAAGTGCGAGCCCCGGGGGTGGCACTTCAATCGAAAAAAATCAATGTGCACCGGTGGGGGGGGATCAACAATAATTATTCTTCAAGAATGAGAGTTCAACAACAACAACAACAACAACAACACAACAACAACAACAACAACAACAACAACAACAATCATTTAAGACTGGGGACACTCCGTTCTCACCAGTGCCAGGGTTTTCATAGGAGGCGGGCAATACCCCCACTTTGTGGGGGGGCCGGTTCAAGCTCTACCAAGTTTCCAAACGACTCTTCGCCACCACCCACACCCAGCTTCCCGCCCTATGACGTTCGGACACTTCACTTCGTGGCCTGCGGACGACCTTGGCTACTACACTGGCGCATGGGTACAGTGACTTGTTGTGGTAACATTTTGTGGAAGCTAGCTTAGTATACGACTTTTCCCCCTGTTCCAACACTGGACACCTGTACCGTTTTCCGACGTTTTTCCGTTTCTGTACTACACAAGCGAAGACACTTATTTTGAGTGGTACCACGTGCGTGGCGCCAGCATACCACAGGACTTGTTTCCGTTGTTGCGAGACGATACATGCTCATTCTTGTTCTGTGGTTGTCGTTCCGGCCCCAATGCGCAATACTGGCTCATTCGTCTACGAAATACACGTGACTAGCTCTCTCTGGTTGGAGGTCCTGATGGTTGCGGTTGTCCCGATGGCTGTCGCGATGATTGTCCCGATGATTGTCCCGATTGTTGTTCCGATGGTTCTCCCGATGGTTGTCCCGATGGTTGTCCCGATCGTTGTCCCGATGGTTGTCCCGATGGTTGTCCCGATGGTTGTCCTGATGGTTGTGGTTGTCCCGATCGTTGTCCCGATGGTTGTCCCCATGGTTGTCCCGATGGTTGTTCCGATGGTGGTCCCGATGGTTGTCCCGATGGTTGTCAGCGATGCCGGATCCTCACGCCCCCCGCCGGAGGAGGAGGAGGAGGAGGAGGAGCAGGACAAGGCGCGGCGGCTCTGGACACATACGTGCTCTGGAGACATACTAAAGAGACGAGTCTTTGTGCTCATCATCTTCTGGCGTACGCCTGTCTCTAATGGCACGCATCGGGCGCAATACAACGACGACGCGACGACGCGCGCATGTGTCCCGCATGATATTTTTTGCAAGGGATTGTGGCCCCTGGCAGGCGCGCGAACGCCGTTGAAAGAGCTTGCGAAAACAGCTCGCGCGAGCTCTATAACATAAATGTTGAAAAACCATTGGTTTTTAAGGATTCGGACAGCGCGCGCGGGTAGAAATTTTGAAAATTCGTACAGATGTTTTTCGAGAACCTACGGTGCGATTCGTATGATTTTATGTTGCGCGGTGCTAAAATTCCTAAGAAACCCAATGATTTTTGAAGATTTCGGCGTGCGCGCGCGAAGAAAAAACGAATGTGTCCCACATGGTATTATTTGACAGGGATGATGGCCCTGGCAGGCGCGCAACCTTTGTTGCAGAAGTTCGAAGCACGTGAAAAAGTTGCTCGCAAGAGCCCGTTTGACAGAAATGTTGAAAAAGTATTGGGTTTCCTAAGAAATCCGCAAGAGCGCGCGGGGTGAATTTTTGAAACCCTTTTTTTGAAAAACCATTGGGTTTTTCATGTTTTTATGTGAAAATCGCTACGAAGACTAAGGTTTTGGAAGGATTTCGTCTTGCGCGCGCGAATGTGCACTTCGTGTCATTTTTGCAAGGGATTCTTGAAGTTTGGTCATGTTAGAACAAGAAATGTCCACTTTGCCTATTTTTTGCAAGGGAAAACCGATCGTAACAACACAACCGGATCTGGTATACCCCGTTTTGCCTGAGACTTCCTCACGAAAATGATGAAAATGTGGCTGCGGCCTAGGCGCGGCGGGGGGGGCGCGCACCAGGGGCCCCAACAATAATTATTCTTTAGAATTAATAATGTTCAACAACAACAACAACAACAACAACAATTACTAGCACGTGGGGACACTCCGTTCTCACCAGTGCCAGGGTTTTCATAGGAGGCGGGCAATACCCCCACTTTGTGGGGGGGCCGGTTCAAGCTCTACCAAATTTCCAAACGACTCTTCGCCACCACCCACACCCAGCTTCCCGCCCTATGACGTTCGGACACTTCACTTCGTGGCATGCGGACGACCGTGGCTACTATTCAGGGCCCCGCGGCCGACGACGACGGCGTGCGCGCGCGAAGAAAAAACGAATGTGTCCCGCATGGTATTATTTGACAGGGATGATGGCCCTGGCAGGTGCGCAACCGTTGTTGCAGAAGTTCGAAAAAGTTGCTCGCAAAAGCCCGTTTGACAGAAATGTTTAAAAAGTGTTGGGTTTCCTACGAATCCGCAAGAGCGCGCGGGATGAAATTTTGACATTTTTTTTTGAAAAACCATTGGTTTTTTGATGTTATGTTAAAATCGCTACGAAAACTAAGGTTTTGGAAGGATTTCGTCTTGCGCGCGCGAATGTCCACTTTACCTTATTTTTTGCAAGGGATTCTTGAAGTTTGGTTATGTTAGAACAAGAAATGTCCACTTTAGCTTATTTTTTGCAAGGGAAAACCGATCGTAACAACACAACCGGATCCGGACTCCCCCGTTTTGCCTGAGACTTCCTCACGAAAATGATGAAAATGAGGCTGCGGCCTAGGCGCGGCGGGGGGGTCGTGCACCAGGGGCCCCAACAATAATTATTCTTTAGAAGTAATAATGTTCAACAACAACAGCAACAGCAACAGCAACAGCAACAGCAACAATAACAACAACGACGACAATAGCAACAACAACAACAACAAGAACAACAACAACAACAACAACAACAACACCAGCAGCAACAACAACAATAGCAACAGCAACAGCAACAACAACAACAACAACAACGACAACAACAACAACAAAAACAACACCAGCAGCAGCAGCAACAACAACAGCAGCAGCAACGACGACGACGACGAGTGACGCGGGGGGGGTACCGAAACTCCTCGGGGCCGCGCTGAAGCTGCTCGCGGCCGTGAGCGAAGCGGCACTTGTCGCCGTTGCGGCAGTGGCCGGGACCCCGCTCGTTCCAGATGCACAGCGTCTTGCGGTAGAACATGTTCGTGGAGCGGAGCTCCTCCTCGGGAGGGCCCGGCACCGCCTCCGCTGGCAGCGTTCCTCTGCAGCTTCTCCTCTCTCCTCCGCCGCCTCCGCCGCCACCTCCTCCTCCTCCTTTTCCCTCCTCCTCCTCCTCCTCATCCTCCTCCTCCGCTCCTCCTCCTCCTCCTCCTCCTCCTCCTCCTCCTCCTCCTCTCCCTCCTCTTCCTCCTCCTCCTCCTCCTCCTACTTCTCCTCCTCCTCCTCCTCCACAATTACTCAATATGAATACTACTCTCCCTCTTCCCCTGATGACGGCCTGGGAATGTCCGAACCCCCCCCCGCGTACTGTTTCTCTACACACAGGTTTTCCCGGAGTTGGGTTTTCGCCTGCATTTTTTTTTATGCTGCTCTCGCTGAGGCGCCGGCCTCATTTTCGGACCCCATTCGTTCCGAATCGTGCTCCCGCTGCAGCGCTGGCCTCATTTCCTTGCTTCCGCTCGTTCCGAATCGTGCTCCCGCTGCAGCGCTGGCCTCATTTCCGCAATTCCGCTCGTTTCGACTCGTGCTCCCGCTGCAGCGCTGGCGTCATTTCCCGTGCCATGCCACGGCCTGCAATGCACTGCTCGGTTGATACTACGCTGTACGGTGCTTTTCTGCGCCATGCCATGCCGTGCTCTACAATGCAGCGCGTACCCTTTCGGGATCATTGCCCTGCTCAACATCCGACTGTGCGAGTAAGGGATGGGAAGGAGGGGTAGGATGTCAGATATGACGCGAGCGCACCTAGCTTGTCCTCCTCCCCCTCCTCTTCCTCCTCATCCTCCTCCTCCTCCGCCTCCTCCTCCTCCTGCTCCTCCTCCTCCTGCTCCTGCTCCTCCTCCTCCTCCTCCTCCTCCTCCTCCTCCTCCTCCTCCTCCTCCTCCTCCTCCTCCTCCTCCTCCTCCTCCTCTCCTCCTCCTCCTCCTCCTGCTCTTCCTCCTCCTCCTCCTCCTCCTCCTCCTCCTCCTCCTTCCCCGCCTCCTTCTTCTCCGTTTTCTTTTTTTCAGGAGGGACCCACAGGGGGCCCTCGAGGGGCCCCCCAAGCCTGAGCTCTCGACCGCATCGCGAGGCCAGATGGGATCGGCAACGAGTCGGACCGCGCGGCACCGGATCGGGATCGGGCGGCTTGGGATCGCGGATGGGGCTCGGCCTTGGAGGCCAGAGAGGGGGGAGGGCGGGGGGAGGGGGAGGAGGAGGAGGAGGAGGAGGAGGAGGAGGAGGAGGAGGAGGAGGAGGGGGAAAGGAGGAGGAGGAGGAGAAGGAGGAGGGGGAGGAAGAGGGAGGAGGGAAAAGATGATGATGAGGAGGAGGAGGAGGAGGAGAAGGAAAAAGAGGAAGAGGAGGAGGAGGAGGATAGATTACGCTGTCTTTCTGCGAAAGTGAATGACAATCGAAGAACTACGCACGAAGGGCCAACCCGCAGGCCGACCCCGAAAAACCCTCTGGCCAACACTGGCCAACCCTGGCCAACCCTCCCGTCCAACCCCTGCAGTACAACATGGGAGCCTCTGTGGCCATGCCTGGAAGGAGAGGGAAGAGGAGGAGGAGGAGGAGGAGGAACAGGAACGGGAAGAGGAGAAGGAGAAGGAGAAGGAGAAGGAGAAGGAGAAGGAGAAGGAGAACAGAAGGAGAAGGGGAAGGAGACGGAGAAGGAAAACGAGAAGGAGAAGGAGAAGGAGAAGGAGAAGGAGAAGGAGAAGGAGAAGGAGAAGGAGATGGAGAAGGAGAAGGAGAAGGAGATGGAGATGGAGGAGGAGAAGGAGAAGGAGAAGGAGAAGGAGAAGGAGATGGAGAAGGAGAAGGAGAAGGAGAAGGAGAAGGAGAAGGAGAAGGAGAAGGAGAAGGAGAAGGAGGAGGAGGAGAAGGAAGAGGAGAAGGAGAAACAGAAGGAGAAGGAGAAGGGCCGCGCGCCCCCTCTGAGGATGCATCCGGGGCCAACACGCTGCGACGCTCGCGGTCCCCATCTGGGCCATCCGGGAGACCTCCGGAGGCCTCTTGAGGCCGCCAGAGGCTCTGGAGGCCCCAGGCCTGTGTCGAGGCCGCCTGGCCATTCGCCACGGGAGCCTACAGGTTCCAGCTGCCAGAGCACGGGCGCAGGAGGAGGAGGAGGAGGATGAGGAGGAGGCAGGAGTGAATGAGTGAGTGAGTGGGGCGATGCCGAAGGCATGATTATCATTCTGACCCTTCTGCCCCACCCCTCAGAACAACTCGAAGATGTGGTTCCAAACTGCGTTGCCTGGGCACGGTCGAGCTGCAAACGGTCCCGATCCCCTGTTATCCAGAAATGCAATACCACCACGAGGTTGAAGGGAACGAAGAAATGGGATTGATGCATTCTGCCACTCCATTGGCCGTGTCAATAAAAACGTTGTTGTGAGGTGTTCACAACTATTGACCACAAGCTGTATAAACGAGAACACAGAATGACCGCGAATACCTTCGAAGCCAGCGCCGCGTATACTCACCACAAACTTGTGAAATGTCTCATGTTCCTCCTCCCCACTGGTGTTCACCTTATTGGCCTTAACGCCACAAGCAGGATGGCCGAAAACACAGAAATTATAGCCACGAAAACCTCCGAAGCCTGTGTCGCGAATGCCCTCCACAAACTTGTGAAAAGCCCCATGTTCCCCCACCACGCGATTGACAACAACCCACGATATTGAAACGTAAGCCCCAAGCCGCCAGACAATAATACATACCCTCCCCGAGCGGAGCTGGGAGATGCCGATATTGTAGCTGATGGCCCCAAGACTTTAACAAAATTACCGAGCCTGACTGACTTTCGTCCCACTTCGCCACCGGCTGAACGTCTCGAAAAAGATGAGGTCGTTCCGGTGCCACCCAAGTGCCACGGCGAGGCGGGGACGGGGCTAGGGCGCCGAGCTAAAACCCATCACGGAGATTGCTGCGGGGCCTGCGCCGCACTTGAGAGGAGGAGGCAGGTAGATAGAGCGGCAGAGGGGGGCGGAGCAGCGCGTTCGGCCGCATGGGTGGGCCCCCGCCGTCGCCGCTCAGAGCGGCACCTTCATCGTGATCGCGGCGCCACGCACGCCGATCACCTTGCCGAACGAGGCGTAGTCGAGCCGGCCATCCATATTCTCATAGTCATAGCCCTGCCAACCACGCAGCCAGCTCAACCTCCATGACTCCCGCTGGTGGCTTGCCCGTCTTCACAGTGGCTCCCGCTTGGATCAGCGCCCTGTAGATGCTGTCCTTGATGTTGCTCTGCTGCTTCTGCTCCTCTGAAGGATCCCCCTCGGCCTCCGCATCGGTCCAGGGCCCCTGCTCGATATACAGTGTGATATTCGCCTGGTTGCTGTCGTAGCACTTGCTGATCTTCAGGTGCTTCTCCTTGTTGAGGACTGTCGCCACACTGACCTGGTCCACGAACTTCCCGTGCTCTGCGAGAAGGCTCTTGGTCTTGGCGCCCACGTCCTCGGAGCAGAGTGTCGAAATAAGCGTGGCGTAGAGGTGTCCTTCTGGTGGTCCCAGCGAGTGTCCCTTGCCCGCCTCCTTGCACTTGTCCGCGTAGATCTTCCTGCAGGCTCGGAGCGCCTTGATCACCTTGGTCTGGGTCGGCATCAGGTACGTGCTGTACACCGCGGAAACGACCCAGGCGATCTGCTGCGTGTTGGCCAGCACTTGCTTGATCAGCACTGTGAACAACTTCTTCAGCTTGGGGTCGCACTTGGTCTGGTAGGCTTCTCCTCCTCGTTGTTGGCGTCGTACTTGCTGGCCTGAAGCTGCGGCTGCTGCTGGGCTTGCCACGCCCTGTTGCTCTTCCTCTTCCTTGTCCTGCATATGGGTATCCCCGTCCGCGTCCTTTCCCTCTGCCTTTGCGCCTTTCTTGTGGTGGCCGCCCTTGCCCTTGGGGTGCGTAGTCTTGCGCTGCTTGCTCGAGCGGTCCGTGTCTGCCATGCTGCCCGCCACCTCCTCGATGTCCTTCTCGTTTGGCACGCACCAAGTCATCCTGGAAGAGGCCGATGTCGATTGAAATGCCGTGTTCTGCGGCGGGGAGGTGATGCGCGCAAACGTGGCCCTGGAAGCTTGAGGTGTGTAAACGGATGTAGGTGTGGGCAGAGGGGACAGACTGGGTTCTCAATCGGTGTCAACGGATAGTGAAGCCTGGTGTTGTCGGCAATGCAGCGCTTGTGTTTGAGTGATCGCAACAGATGATCTTCGGCTTGGGCTCGATCGAGAAACGTGGTACGACAGAGCGGACACTGATTGGTGATGGTGACTGCTGCAGCTGCTGATCGAAGCCCGTGCTCTCCTCCTTTTGTCGCGGTCTGATGGGTACAGAGCGCTGTCCATGTTGGAAAAACACGGCCGCATACTTGTCCCGCGTCCGTTAATAAGTCACACTTGTAGTAACCCAGTTCGTCTCCTGCTCGTTGGTCTTGTTCGTGTGGTTGAGGCTCGAAACCAGGTGGTGGAATCGCTACTGCTGTTGCCCTGGCTCTGAGCTCTGCCACGTCGATCCTGATGAAGGCAGCTGTAACTTCTGCGTCGTAATACAGTTGAGTGATGCTCCCGTGCCATGCGTAGCTGAACAACTCGGCGCTGTCTAACTCGAGGATGGAGAGGACGTCGTTGTAGTACTGCTTCGCCATGGGGCTCGCGTCCGCGATGAGATGTCCATTGTCGTCGAGCTCTCCGACGTGCTCACGATTGTAGTCGATCTCGAACTTGATGGAGCCGAAGAGTGCCGTGAGCCACTGATCGTAATCTGTCGGGTGCTTGACTGAGGCCTGTATCATGCGCAGCCTCCTCACTCGCAGCTCAATGTACATCGGGGAGAGGTGGCAGTGCTTGAACACTTCGCTGTTGGTCATGGTGCGGTAGGTGCCCGATTCGTCAATGTTGGTGGCTTTGCCTTGCATGAGTACGCGTGCGTAAGTGGCAATGACGGCGTCGAGGCGCTTGTATTCGGTGTCCTTGAGGATATAGGATTCCACGCCGCTGGTTGCAGCACCGGTCACCCTGTTAATGAAGATGATACGTTTGAGGCGCCACGGCACTTTGCGATGCCAGAACTTGCCCATGATGTGCCAGGCTCGCTTGATGCTTTGAATGCGCATGTCGATCTCGATGGCGCTGCTGCCGCCGTGGTGGAAGTGGCCGCCCAGGTACTTAAGGGTGCGAAGGACTCGCCCTTGGACTTGATCTGCTAGGGCTCGGTTCTCCCTCCGCGTGCGCAGGCCTCCAACGATCTCCTCCTTGTCCCTGTTCTGGTGGAACCCGTGCTCAGCAAGGCACTGATCGAGGATGGTGTTGCTGTTGGCGAGGGCCGAGGCGGCGCCCCGCGCGGCGCCCGATGGGCGAGGTGTATCTTGAAGATGTCGTCGACGCACAAGTAGACGGAAAGGTCGAGCAGGGCGTGCGTGATGGGGGACACGGCCGCGAAGGGGGCGGCGTCCTGCGGGGTCTCCTCGAGCCATTGTCCAACTGGTTGCTCATAAACCAAGTTGAAGGAAGTCGGCCCTGTGCTGCAACCTGGCATGACCCCTGAGCCGAGGTAAAAGTCGCCTGTGGAGTCGAACCCGTCGATCTGGACGCTGGCGCACTGGTAGCGTTGGTAAAAATAGACGCTGTTCTGTTACGCTGAGGGCGGTCGGGATGGTGTTCATGGTCACGTCGATCTTGGCGCTGGGGAAGGCGTTGGTGACGCCCCCGCTGCCGACGACGAAGTCAGCTTTGACCCTCTGCAGGCGGTAGGCGACGACGCGGGAGGCTGCCATGGGGACTTCGCGACGCCTACGCGGCCAGCAGCCGTGAGCATGGGGAGGAGGTGACCACGGCTTGGACTTGCACTGGAGCTGTCTGTAGAAGCAGCGCCAGACTGGGCACAGCATGTGGAGTATACGCAGGCCGTGGACCTTGGGCTTGCCGTTCTTCTTGTCGAGGGTGAAGCTCTGGCCGTGGTGGGCGTTGAGGGGGGCGAAGCCGACGCGGTACACGTGGTTGAGGACTGACTCGAAGCTCTCATGCGCGAGGGGAGCCTCAGCGAGCTCGTCATCGCATCCCGCGCCTGTCGTCTTCGACTTCTGCTTGGCGACGCTGGCGGGCTGCAGGGTCATCTGGAAGATCTCGGCGGGCAGTGACCAGTCTGGCACGGAGGCGCGCTTCTTGAAGTACTTGAGCCGCTTGGTGACGCCGTAGAGTGCTCGCTTGATGCCGTCCTTGGCGCCCTCGTATTCCTGGCGAACTTGCAGGTTGTGCTCGGTGGTGAACTCGTAGGCGGTATCCTTCAAGATGCGCTTCTCCTCCTCGAGGTCGATCTGGTGAGCTCTGAACCCTCCGCGCTGGCCGTCTTGTGCAATGTGATCTGCCCACTCCTGCAAGCTGGAGCGAGATCTGGTCGACCGGCTGTAGTTGCGGTTGCGCTTGCCGTAGTTGGTGCCGGCCAGGAGTCGAGACAGTTGGTGTACTTCAGCGTGTTGTCGTCGTTGCCAAGCCTCGTAGATGCGCCCCTCCAAGGTGTTGTCTTCGTTCAGCTTCGTGCTGGCGCTTCTGCTTCTTGAGGGCGCGCGAGAGGACCTCGATCTGGTACTCAATCTCGTAGTTGGGGTCGGTCCCGATGTACTCTTCTCTGAGCTTGGCGCGCCCCTGAAGTAGCCGCAAACGTTCCCCCATGAGCTGGTAGTACTGGTCGGGCTTGGACTTCTGGCGCTCGAAGAAGGGCTTGGCTGCATCCTTCATGATGTTCACAATGAGCTCCCAGTGTTCGTCCGCTGCGTTGCCCCCTGCCAGCTCCTTCAGCTTGTCCTGGTGCTTGCCGAAATGGTACTCCAGCGCGTCATTGAACTCCTTGCGGTACTTGCCCGTCTGCAGGGCCAGGGCCATCTTGTCGTAGTCCCAAGCGGTCCTCTTGAGATCTGTGAACACGTTCGGGATGATGACGTTGGCGGCTGCAATCAGTGGGACGTGGTCGCGCGGCACGCTGTCATTGATGAGTTGTAGTGCCTTGGCCGCTCGCCACCAGACTCTGCAAGAAGTGATGTGTGGGCATAGTCCTTGAGGCACTGCAATGTACTCGGGACGTGTGGCCTGTCCTTGGGCTCCGAAGTACGTGGGCCCCGCGTTCCAGAAGGTGTTGAGGATGCACATGCCGTGCACGTCGAGCATGTTGTGGACGGCAGCGGCTGCCTCGCCAGGTACTCCTGTAGGGCCTGCGTCGCCGATCACGTTGCTGGGCGTGGCAGGAAGCAATCCGTCTTGGCCGTAGTGGTCGTTCAGGTCGAGGCCAATGATCGGCGTGCTCCTGGTGGGCGTCTCGTTCAGGGTCTTGTTGATCCACTTGAGCGTCTCGTTGACCGTCTTGACCCAGGCGTTGTGGTGCTTGGCGAGCCCTGACCGTGGAGGTAGGTACGCAACAATGAAGGTCATGTCGAGTTCTCCTCTGCGAAGGCGAACTGCTCCTGCACGTCCTTGGATGCACGGCGGCGGGCTGGGGAGCTGTCACGCACTTGAGGCGGTAGCGGCTGCTGATCATAATGGCCACGCCCGCGTGATTGTTGGTGAAAGGGCCTCTGCCGTAGCCCCACGTGAAGGTGCAGTGCTTGTAGGTCTGGAGCTGGTCGACGGGGCTGGTGGGGTCGTTCTGCCTCCAACGAGTGGCTGGTAACATGACGACGTCGACCGCGCTGAACTGTCTCGAAATCTCCATGCTTCTTAACGGCGCGACCATGCTGAGCGGGTTGTACACGCCCCGCCGCATGAATGTCATCCAGAAGATCGCCAGCGAAGAAATATGGATGGCCAGCCGCGCTGGCATGACATGAAGGGTGCCCTGAAGGCGGAAGCTGCTCTGCGTGGGCTGCCTGCTGGGCCGCGAAGGATGAGGCTGGAGCAGGAAACGGCGGGTGAGGAGGAGGCAGGAGGAGGAGGAGGAAGAGGAGGAGGCAGAAGGACGGGGAGGAGCACGGGCAAAAGGCTTCACGCCGTGCCGCTGCTTTAGTCCGCCGGTCCTCCCCATGCGCGAACATGCAGCTGGCGTCGTTACACCTGCGAGGGCCGCCGCCACAACGTCCTGAGCCCAGCTCGTCCTCCTCCTCCTGTTCCTCGTCCTGCTCCTCCTCCTCCTCCTCCTCCTCCTCCTCCTCCTCCTCCTCCTCCTCCTCCTCCTCCTCCTCCTCCTCCTCCTCCCTGTCCTCCTGTGATTCCTTCCCCTCCTCCTCTCCTCCTTACCTTTTCCCCTGCTCCTGCTTCTCCTCCTCCTCCTCCTTCTCCTCCTCCTCCTTCCTCCTCCTCCTCCTCCTTCCTCCGCCTCCATCCTCCTCCCTCCTCCTCCTCCTCCTCCTCCATCCGCATCATATCACATCAATCATCATCATCTCATCATCATCAATCCTCATTCCTCATCCTCATCCTCATCCTCATCCTCATCCTCATCCTTATCCTCATCCTCATCCTCATCCTCATCCTCATCCTCATCATCATCATCATCATCAGCAGCAGCAGCAGCAGCAGCCATCATCATCATCATCATCATCACCATCATCATCACCATCATCATCAGCAGCAGCAGCAGCCATCATCATCATCATCATCATCATCATCATCATCATCATCATCATCATCATCATCATCATCACCATCATCACCATCATCATCAGCAGCATCAGCAGCATTAGCAGCAGCCATCATCATCATCACAATCATCATCATGATCATCATCACCACCACCACCACCATCATGATCATCATCATCAGCACATTCACCATCATCAGCATAATCAGCATCATCATCATGTTCCTCAGCATCATCATCATCCTCATAATCGTCGTCACCCTCGTCATCATCATATCATCATATCATCATCACCATCATAATCGACAGCTGCACCATCATCATCAGCATCGTCAGCAGCACCATCAGCAAACAAATCATCATCAGCAGCAGCAGCAGCAGCAGTATAATCATCATCATGATCATCCTTATCATCCTCATCGGCAGCAGCAGCACCATCATCATCTTCATCATTACCATCATCAGCAGCATCAGCAGCATCAGCACCATCATCAGCAAGCATCAGAGTAAGAAAGTTCGCTCATGTCTGCTTGCGTGCCAGTCAGCATGTATGTATATCCCAAATCCTTGGTACCCGCCCTCTTCGTCTTAAATCGTATACCCTCGGGGGTATAGCTTCCTTACCTGCAACGTGTATTTAGCGCAGCCCGTAAAACAGAGGAAGAAAGGACGGATGGAAGGGGGAGGGAGAAGGATGGAGCACGAGAGAGATTAGCAGGAGGGGGGGCCAGGAGCATAAAACACGTGGCAGAACCAGACAGGCAGATCAAGCGGGTAGACCCTAACGGGCGGGTCGTCAACGCGGGCCCAGGCGGCCAGGTCGAGCAGGCGGGGTGCTGAAGCGTGAGTCCTTCATGAATCGCGAGAAAGTCTCATCGCAACCATCGATACCCGCCGTTTTCGTCTTCAATCATAACCCCCCTTGGGGGCTGATCTTCCTCACCTGCCACGTGTAGTTGGCGCAGCCACTACAACAAAGGAAGAGCTGGAGGAGGGAAGGGACAAATGGGGAGGGAGAAGGATGAAGCACGAGAGAGATTCACAAGAGGGGTTAAGAGCAGAAAAACAAGTGGCAGAACCAGACGGCCAAATCGGCGGGGGCGGTCCACAGCGGGCGGATCGGGCGGGCGGGTCCAGACGGCCGGGTCGAGCGGACGGGACGCTGAAGCGTCAGTCCCGCATGAATCGGGAAGAAGTCTTTCGCGATAGCGCGAGTTCCAGGTAACTCGTGAAAAAGTCCAAAACGAAAACGTGATTCCTACGTGCTGGGGGCGCGGCGTTTTGGGTGATTGCGAGGAACTACCACGCGGGAGCGCGACTCCTGGATACATCGTGAGGAAGTTTTTGGAATGCAATGTGAGGATGTATCCGGCGGGAGCGTTTGTTGTTTTAAGATGCGGACCAGCAACCGAGTCTGAGGCTGCAGACTTTCAATTGCGAGCCCCAGGAGGTGCACTTCACTTGATAAAACGCAATGGACACTGAAGAGGAGAAGCCAACAATAATCATTAACTACATCATCCTCCTCTTCCTCCTCCTCTTTCTCCTCCTCCTCTTCCTCCTCGTCCTCCCGCTCCTCCTCCTCCTCCTCCTCCTCCTCCTCCTCCTCCTCCTCCTCCTCCTCCTCCTCTCCTCCTCCTCCTCCCTCCTCCCTCCTCCGCCCTCCTCTCCCTCCTCCGTCCTCCTCCTCCTCCTCCTCCTCCTCCTCCTCCCTCCTCCTCCTCCTCATCCTCCTCCTCCCTCCTTCCTCCCTGTCCTCCTGTGATTCCTTCCCCTCCTTCCTATCCTCCTTACGACTGGCTCCTCCCTGTCCCGTCCCTGCTTCTCCTTCCTCCTCCTCCTCCTCCTCCTCCTCCTTATCCTCCTCCCAACAGCATCACATCATCCATCCGCATATGTCCTGTGGGAGTCTGAACGTCGACCTGCCTGCTTCCTCCTCTTCCTCATCCTCCTCATCCTCCTCATCCTCCTCATCCTCATCCTCATCCTCATCCTCATCAGCAGCATCATCATAATCATCATCATCATCATCAGCATCATCATCATCATCATCATCATCATCATCATCATCATTAGCAGCATCATCATCACAGCCATCAGCATCATCATCATCATCATCATCACCATCATCATCATCATCATCATCATCATCATCATCATCGTCAGCATCAGAATCATCACCATCATCATCATCATCATCATCATCATCATCATCATCATCATCAGCAGCATCACCATCACCATCACCATCACCATCACCATCACCATCAGCATCGCCACTCCATCACAATCACCTTTCTCCTCCTCCTCCTCCTCCTTCTCCCCCTCCTGTCCCTCATCCTCCTACTCCTCCTCCTCCTCCTCCTCCTCCTCCTCCTCCTCCTCCTCCATCATCATCATCATCATCATCATCCTCCTCCCTCCTCCCTCCCTCCCTCCCTCCTCCCTCCTCCCTCCCTCCCTCCATCCTCCCGCTCTCGCCTCCCTCCCTACCCTCACTTCTGCTCTCCGTCCTCCTCCTCGTCCTTCTCCTCCTCCTCCTCCCTCCTCCTCCTCCTCCTCCTCCTCCTCCTCCTCCTCCCTCTCCTCCTCCTCCTCCTCCTCCTCTCCTCCTCCTCCGTCCTCCTCCTCCTCCTCCTCCCCCCCTCGTGCTCCTCCTCCTCCGCCTCCTCCTTCCTCCACCTCCTCCTCCTCCTCCTCCTCCTCCTCCTCCTCCTCCTCCTCCTCCTCCTCCTCCTCTCCTCCTTCCTCGTCTCTATCCTTATTACACCCCCCCCATTTTTTATTAGAATATACTCCTACTCCCCCCTCAGGCCGGCAGATAGCGGGCGCATCCGTGTGGTCCCATCCTAACCTGTAAAAAACAATACAACATCAACATTTTTCTTATTTTTTCCTCTCGACATGGACGTCCTGTCGTCCACGGCGATAATCCATTGCAAAAAATACCACAAAGAGCGCGTTCATGTCAGAATCCTACCGAACACCGTGTGTTTGCAAGCATTTCAACATAAAAACATCAAAAACCCAATGCTTTTTCACAAAAAATTGTACAAATTTCCCGCCCGGGCTCTCTTGCTGAAATCATAGGAAAACCATAGGAATCTTAAGAATTCTGTCAAATCCAGCGATTTCACGTCATCGCGCGGTGCACTCGCGATGCTCTGTCATGCACCCAGGCCGCGAATCCTGTGCCAAAAATACACAAAGAGCACACTCGCGCGTTCATGTCAGAATCCTACCGAACACCGTGTGTTTGCAAGCATTTCAACATAAAAACATCAAAAACCCAATGCTTTTTCACAAAATGCTTTGGGGTGTCCTGTCAGACCGTCGGGCTTCCTCCGGCCACCTCTGGCTTCCTGCGGTGTACCGGGCCATTCTCGACTCGTCTGGCAATGCGTGCGCGGCATTCAACGCGCTCGCCAGTTCCCGTCGGCAACCGCCATCGCGGCCGCATCAGCTGTACCAAAACCGGCTGGCCGGTGTGACTTCGGCCCCCAGTTGTGCCAGCTTTGCTTCTTATGTTGTGGGAGGGCGGGTGGGACTGGGCATGCCATGCTTGACTCGCTCGAGCTGGCTAGCTTGACTCCTACTCCTACTCCTACTCTACTCTCCTCCTCTCTCCTCCTCCTCCTCCCTCCTCCTCCTCCTCTCCTCCTCCTCCTCCTCCTCCTCCTCCTCCTCCTCCTCCTCCTCCTCATCCTCCTGCACCTCCTCCCACCTCCTCCTCCTCCTCCTCCTCCTCCTCCTACTCCTCCTCTCCTCTCCTCTCCTCCTCCTCCTCCTCTCCTCCACCTGCTCCTCCTCATCCTTCTCATCCTCCTCCTCCTCCTCCTCCTCCTCCTCCTCCTCCTCCTCTACTCCCTTTCCGTATGCACAGATTCTCCCTGTCGCACCCCGGAGCCAGTTTGTAGGGCGGTCTGGGCGTTTCGCCTGAGAGTTTCTCACCATCTATGACCATGAAATTTAAAACATACAAGAGTGTTACAGATGGAGGGTGGGTGGTTTTCAAAATGTGGCTCTCGCCTTAGCGCCGCGTACCTTCGTTCTAAAAATTGCAAGAGTTTCACGGATTGAGGGCGGACCGATTTCAAAATATGGTTCTTGGATTAGCGCCGCGCATACTCGTTCTAAACATTGGCAACCGTTTCACGGATTGAGGGCGGGCCGTGTTCGAAATGTAGTTCTCGCCTTAGTGCCGCGCACATTAAGCGTACAAGAGCTTGGCGGATTTCCATGATCAGCGTACTAAAAAAGTGTTGCTTGAAGGATTTAGGTTTATGAATGTGCAACAGTTACGTTGATTCGCGGTGTTGAAGTCCCAGGAACGCTGTTCTGGCACGATTCGAGATTGTCAAGACACAAGTCAGGTTGATCCATGGCGTTGGAATCCCGAGAACAATGTTTTGGCATGCTTCAAGCTCTTCAAACGGTTACCTTCCGACGAGGCAGTTCCATCAGTGGGAATGAATCGTTATAGGGGCCTATGTAGAGGGAGCTTGGAGGGAATGTGGATTCCAACATCGTTGGTGACTCCTGGATTTCCACTGGTCCTCCTCCTCGTCCTTCTCCTCCTCCGCTTCCTGCTGCTCCTCCTCCTCATCCCCCTCCCTCCCTCCCTCCCTGCTCCTCCTCGTCCCCCTGATGATCATCCTCCTCCTCTTCCTCCTTCTCCTCGTCCTCCTCCTCGTCCTCCTGCTCCTCCTCCTCCTCCTGCTCCTCCCCCCCGTTCTCCCTGACTCTCGGCCATCGAGTTCGCCTGCCCTCTCCGAGGCCTATGGTCCGGGGTCGAGGACGACCCGCGAGACGCGACGGGTAAGGCGGAGCTCCCTAGATTTTTGGCGCCGTGGTTCCATCACAACCTGGACCCCCAGATACGCCACGAATTGTCTATATCTATAGATGTATATATACATATACATATACATATACATATACATATACATATACATATACATATACATATACATATACAAATACATATACATATGCATATACACATACATAATTATGTATACACAGGCACTCTGCGACGAACTTTGCATGTACCTCCAGAGAGGGTGGCTGTGAAGAAAGTCGCTGGCTCTCAGTGGAGATTTATGCACCGCCACTCTCCCCAGAGGCCCAGGAACAGTCCATCAGAGGGTGTCTGCGTATATCTATATAACTGCATATATATATATATATATATACAGACACGTGTGTGTAACGGACACGAGGTCGGCACCCCTTGACTGGGAATGGCTGCTCGTCCCGAGCCGTTCCTCGGCGGCCCCAGGGGCCCGGTGAGGGCCCCCCCGAGGTCGAAGACTACCAAAAACTGTCCAGCTTTGCTCTTTCACCGCGGGAAGAACCCAGAACCCCGACGTCATGACTTTCTTCTAACGTCGACCCTGAGAGGTTTCGCCCCATTCCCCGGGAGCGGTTCTTGTTCATCCTGAATCGTTCTTGGACGGTCCCGAGGCCCTGTCAGGATCCCCGGAAGCCGAAAATAGGGAAAAACCTCCCGTCGTGATTTTTTCACAACGCGAGGGGGCCTGGGAGGTCGGGCTTTCGGGCGCAAGCTCTGGCCTCTGGCTGCCGCTCGAGGGCACCCCTGGGACGCCCTCGGCGGGGCGCGGCGGCTGGAGGGCCTCCGGGGACGGCAAGCAGCCAAAAGCCTCGAGTAGTGGATCGACTACAAAATCGATCGACCCCAGAATGAGTTGCCACGTCGAATCTAGAATATTCGCACATCTACCGAAGAGTCTACGCATCTTCCGTGGATTCGACAAGAAAACTCAATTTCAATTTAGGGGTAAATCAATTATGTGGTCAATCCCTCATTCGAGAGCCGCCCGCCAAGCTCTTTCCACAGCGAGGCGTCCCCGCGCACCAGCCCTCCAGCTGGAACGCCGTGCAAAGCCTGGTCTTGCTCAGGTCGGGGCTGGCGTGGAGCTCGGTCTCAGAGTGCGCGTAGGTGCACTGCGCGGGGGTCGGCGCAGGGGTGCGGCGGCACGAGGTGCAGGAGGAGGGGGGGAGGAGGCTCCTCCTCCTCCTCCTCCTCCTCCTCCTCCTCCTCCTCCCCTCCTCCTCCTCCTCCTCCTCCTCCCTCCTCCTCCTCCCCCTCCTCCCCCTCCTCCTCCTCCTCCTCCTCCTCTCCTCCTCTTCCTCCTCCTCCTCCTCCTCCTCCTCCTCCTCCTCCTCCTCCTCCTGTTCCTGTTCCTGTTCCTGTTCCTGCTCCTGTTCCTGTTCCTCCTCCTCCTCCTCCTCCTGTTCCTGTTCCTCCTCCTCCTCCTCCTGTTCCTGTTCCTGCTCCTCCTCCTGTTCCTCCTCCTCCTGCTCCTCCGACTATGTTTTGACTAATTTTGAATATTCCTCATGTAGAGTGACATGCAAGACTTCAACGTAGCCTGTCGAAGGTCTGCGCGTGTTGTTTTTGCTCGACCTTCGCGGGACCCCCCTGGCGCCGTCCCCCTGGGGGGCCGCCCCCCCTCCCCCCCCCTGGCGCGCCGAGATGGGTGCCCGAGGGCCAGCCGGGGAAACGGTCGAGACCTCCTCCTCCTCCTCCTCCTCCTCCTCCTCCTCCTCCTCCTCCTTATTACTCTTACGATTATTATTATGTTTCTTAGTATTATGTTTCTACTTATGATTATCATTAATATGAAGTGTTAGTATTATTAGTGTTGGTGAAATTCTTAGTATCCTGCTTAGTATGACTACTATCATTATTAGTGTTCGTATTCTTATTATTCTGCTTCATAGTATTAGTCTCGTTCTGAGTATTAATACTATTCCCATTATTCAGCTTATTATTAGTAATATTCGTATCATTGTTATTATTGCTGTTCTTCTTAGTAGTATCATGAGTGTTCACCATGCTGTGATTAGTGTTGTTATTGTTATGATGTTTATCATTGTTCGCATTATCATTCTTAGTATGAATACTATTCTTAGTAGTCGTATTATTAATAGTATTATTCGTATTCGTAGTATTAGCATTACTCGTAGTCTTATTATTAGTATGCTTAATATTCTTAGTCGTGGTATTCTTCTTGGTAGTATTATCATTATTAATATTCGTAGCACTCGTAGCATTATTCTTTTTATGATCAGTATTCGTGTTATTCGTGCGATTAGTAATATGATCTTTATTCTTATTACTATAAGTATTAGTATTCGTTTTCTTACTATTCGTCTTATTAGTATTATTCGTAGTAGTAGTAGTAGTAGTAGTAGTAGTAGTAGTAGTAGTAGTCTTATTGATACTATTATTCTTATTAGTCGTCGTCTTCTTATTCTTCTTCCTCCTCCTCCTCCTCCGCCTCCTCCTCCGCCTCCTGTTCCGTAGCCATGTTGGCTCAAGCCTGCCTTCGGCGCCAGACGGGAGGTGCGCGCGTTGTTTCTCCCTGTAGAGTCCTGTCATCTCGGCAGGCGCGGAGAGCGGCTCAGTCGCCTTCCCCTAGCGCGGCCTCTTGCGATGGAGGCGAAGGCAATGGCTGCGCTTGAGCGATGTCAGCTCCTCGTGGCACTGGCGCCACTGGTGCGAGCGGCAGCGGCTGGCACGGCTGAGGGAGGCGGTGGACGCCAGCACCTCGCCGCCGCAGTCGCTGCCGTGATGCGCACTGGAGTGGCACTAATGTAGGAGACGGTGCCGCACAGCGCGAAGCTCGACGGCGAGGAGCAGGTCGAGCTCGCTGCGCGGTTGGTGGCCATCGAGAAGGCGCTAGCCCTCCAGCTGGCGGGCAAGACAGTCCCAGGGAGTGTACGGTTCGAGCGCAACGTCGCGGCCCACGTGTGGATCGGCGAGGGCGCCGACGTGCTGATCCTGGAGACCAAGGAGAAGAACCAGAGACAGCGGGGCTTGCGGCGCGGTCGGCCGCGGGCTAGCCAGGTGGCGATGGCCTCGGTGAAGCCCTCGGAGAGCGACTCCAGCGTGAAGGACGGCGAGTGCCGCGAAGGCCAGATGCAGGTGCAGAAGGACGTGGCGGACGGCGCTACGGCTCTCTTCGAGGAGCGGAAGTGCAAGCAGAAGGAGCGGGAGACCAACGCGCACGAGGACGACGACAACGTCAAGATCGACAAGGCGGCGCAGCAGGCCGCAGCGGAGCAGGTGTCCCCGTGCTCTGATCTCTTCGCGCCCAACGAGGAGGGCAGGCAGACGGAGCTGGAGGGCATCGTTGACCCCATCACGACCAATGAGGACGGCGGCCTGGAGAAGTCCGAGAGGATCGGGCCTGAATGCCCCCTGCAGAGGCGACGGCCTGGAATCTGCAGGGGGCCTCCCGTGAAGCCGACGGGGACTTTCACGGGGGAGACGCTCAGGCCCGCGGCGCTGGCGACGGCGACAAAGAGAAGATCGAGAAGGTGGTGCAGCACACCCTCGGCCATCCCGTGTGCCCTGTCGGTGACGAGCATGCGGGCAAGCAGAAGGAGTGCGAGAGCATCGCCACTCCCAGCACGATGAAGATGTTCGGGGACGTCGCAAACGTGAAGATCGCGAAGGCGGTGCAGCAGCCCGCCGTGGAGCTGGTGCCTCACAACTCTGATCTCTTCGTCCCCAACGGCGAGGGCAAGCAGACGGAGCTGGAGGGCATCGTCAACCCCACCAAGATGAAGGAATACGCCAACGAGAACGACACTGATGACGTCCCGCCTTGGGAACGCGGCGACCCAAACGACGACGAATTCGACCGTGCCCGCAGTCGAGCCTTCCGTGTGAAGCTGGTGGCGCGTGGACGCCGCGGCTAAGGGCTCAAGCGAGGCGCGGGCGGCTGGGCCCCGCGGAGGCTCGTGTTCCTCCTGCGGGCCCAACGGCGAGTGGGACCGAGAGACGTCACGGGATTGCCGTGCCAGGCAGAGGCTACGGTGCCTGTCCTGGGGTGGCCGCCCTAGTGGAGTGCCTAATCTAATCTCCTCCTCCTCCTCCTCCTCCTCCTCCTCCTCCTCCTCCTCCTCCTTTTCCTCCTCCTCCTCCTCCTCCTCCTCCTCCTCCTCCTCCTCCTCCT